TGGCCAGGATGCCGGGGTTACACCCCTACTCTTTTTCGAAGGACATCCTGGGATTTTTAATGACCACAGAGAGGCAGGCCCTCGGTTTAACGTCTCATCCGAAAGACGGTGCTTTTTGTCAGTATAGTGTCCCCGTCACTACACTGGGGCGTTAGGACCCACACAGACCACAGTGTGAGCGCCCCCTGCTGGCCTCCCTAGCACCTCTTCCAGCAGCAACTTGGTTTTCCCAGGAGGTCTCCCATCCAGGTACTGACCAGGCTCAACCCTGCTTAGCTTCAGAGGGCAACCAGTCTTGGGCTGCAGGGTGATATGGCTGTGGCATATTATTAATTATAATAATATTGCATATTATTAATTTGTTTATAGGGATGCACAATTTGGCTGAAAAACCTAATTTATTATATCACTATAATTAATAATAACAATAACAATAATAATAATTGTTATTAAATACAAATATTAAATGAAATATTCCGTGTGTGTGTGTGTGTGTGTGTGTGTGTTCTTTTGAAAATCTAATAAAAAAAAAAAAGATAGTAGTTTGTGGACAAATTCTTTGATATGATAATCTACAAAGCTAGATATTCTCTCTGTAATGCTTCCAAAGCCAGAAACAATATGTTTTCCTGGAGGGTTATCCACATTTTTATGAATTTTAGGTAAAATATATGAATAAGGTTTTAAAGGAAATACATTAAACAGTGGTAAATTTGCGCCAGATCCCATCTAATTACTTTCATGTGAGTGTGCAGCAGTTCACACTGGCATGCCCAGGAAAAGCAAATACGAAACACAATGCCTATAGACCCTAAAGATATATGTATAGCTATCTCAGACACAGAGACACTATAAAGACAGCCAGACTTTGTCACATGAGGAAAAAAATGTATAGGCTATACCTAACACAATGTATTATTCTGTGTGTTGATAATCAAAATGATTTAGGCCACATCCACATCAGTGTTAATTTTGTTGACAAATAATTTTTGTCATTATAGTCGTCAACAAAATTTTTTTCACAGACAACAACGAGACGATAACGAACTAATGGCGCTTTCCACTGCGTGGTACGACTCGGCTCGGCACGACTCAGTACGGCACGGTTTGCGTTTCCACTGCAGTTCAGTACCGCGTTAGAGTGGGCGGGATTATTCACATGTCGTTATAGTTGCACCGCCTCTACTACCACGACTCCTAAAAAAAACTTTTTCATTCCGCATCGCCCTATCAAGCTCTCGCTGGATACGCTCCTCTGCTATCAACGAGAGGAACGTCTGTTCTTCCGCAACAGACAACAAAACTTTTTGGTTGTTAAAAAAAGGTGCGCTCGTTCAAAACAGTTGCGTTCGATCCTTCGCTGGCTGTGCTGATTTAAATCTAGCGGTTCTTTTGTGTTTGTGTCGCAAGTTCAGTGACGCAGGTAGTGACGATTCTCTCCGGCCAATCCGTCATCAGCAGGGTTAAAAATAAGATCATGTTCTTGTTCTTTATGAGAAGTGGTTTTATTTAATTTTAGCATAAATGCATGTTGTGCGTCACCGCAGTTAAATCTGTGTCAATGATGATAAAACCTTAATATTAAAAACCTATATAATGAGTTTGGAAATTTTAGAGAAATGCTTAATAAATGCATTACACTGTAACTAAACCCATTAGATTTTAGCCGACTAAATTTACTGTAGATTTAGTCGACTAAAATCTTATGATATTTAGTCGACTAAAACTAGACTAAAACTAAAAACAATTCAGATGACTAAAATATGACTAAAACTAAATTACATTTTAGTCAAAAGACTTTGGCTAAAACTAAATCAAAATTTGCTGTCAAAATTAACACTGATCCACATGAAGTCAGAGCTTTCCCTATCTAATCTTTTTTTTCCCTCGTTCTAAAAAAAATAAACATAAACCCGGAAACATGGCGTAGTCTCAAGAAATATCTGCGTACAAACAAAACCACTGAAACTGACTCAAAACTATGTAGTATACATGCCAGACCAGTATGTGGCACTGTAATTCTGCCACAGAGATACACTAAAAATGGAGAAGAATACTTGGAGCATGTGCATAAACCTTGAGCAAAATATACAAAAATGTTTGCTTTAGTAATTTTTGATTTTGCTTTAGTAAAGCTAATAGGCTCAGGTGCTTCTGCAGCACGAACACAAGCATGTAGTCAGCCATTGTTGTTGCTGTTGCCGTTACATGACAAAGCGGTGTCTGACTAGGGTCGAGACGTGGGGTGATGACATCATCGTTTCACAAAATATACGGATTGGCTGTACACACGAAAACGCAAGGGTTTCGTTTTCAGATTTATCCACTCTTGGACCCAGTTTAAAAAAATAGCAGTTTCAGGCTCCCAAAACGCAGAATCCGTCTAGACAAAACGCAGACGATACAATTTTTTTTTTTTACGTATACAGCTAAATGTTTACAGTTCCGTGTGTACAGGCTCTTAATTTACAACTAATTCAATAATTTAAAACTAACCATTTAGTCAGTTTGTTATGGATTTGTTAAAGGGGTCATAGGATGCTACATGCACTTTTAAAAGTTGTTTGAACTGAAATGTGTGTTGGCAGTGTGTGTACACAACCACCCTATAATGATAAAAATCCACCCAGTGTTTTTATTTTTTTTTATTTGCTCAAATATTTACCCCTTTCTCAAAGTGAGTCGATCTCAGATGCCTGTCTGTGTGATGTCACACAGACAGGC